GGCTGCAGCCCCCTCCTCACCGCTGTCCATGTCAGCTTTAGCTTTGGCAGCCCAACCTTCCCTTCCGGCTCCTCGGGGTTTCATGAAAGGAGTCAGTGGGGAGTTCTCTTCATTCACGCTGTGCTTATACTTTTAAATTATAAAGTGTGTCAAATGAGGATTTAATTTATAGTTAACAAGACAACGTTTGTAAATTAATTATTCATCATCTGATAACGAATAAACATTTCCCCTGTTCTTCCCCCACCCCTCCTCCCTTCTTCCCAGGGTTTCACGAATGCATCATACATGCAAATCTATTAAATCTATTCTGCAATACTCTAGACACGGAAAAATATGTTCTTCATCCTCAATTTCGTTAGCGTGTTGCATGGTAACTACTGCAGCCAGGCACAGCATTATGAATTTAATCGTGCGTAGCTTCTCCTTCCTAAAGAGGGGAGGGAGAGAATATTCAACACGTGCATTTGGACATATCAACCTCCTCGGGTACCAGTCTCCCCCTCAGTGGGGGAGGTAAGAAAATAATTTGCTGCAATAGTGGAGGCAGGAGCTCAGTGCTACCCCATGGAAATCGCACACACTTCAGAAGCAGCAGAACCTGGCAATCCTGGTGAATGGCAGAGCACCGTTTTGCTCTTTTTGTCTTTGGTATCATTAAGACCAATGTGGTCTTTTATCAAATTTGGCTACAGAATTGCACACACAGGGGCATCTTCTCTGCTTTTAACACCCTTACATGCACCACAGAGGAGTCTCTCCAGCACAGAACTAACTCTACCTTCACTACCTCTAAGCCTGAGCACCTGAAGACACCAAGGCAAGCCCCTGGCTGAGCAGCACATGTCCTTCCACTTGATCAGGAGGCTGCTGCAGTGCACCATGTTCTCTACCTAAAGTCCTTGAGCCTCACACTTGGTTTTGCTCAAGAAAAAAAGTACATTGTAACTCAGACCTCTGGGAGGAACTGGAGAGCCGGAATTTCTCCATTGTCAAGCTGGGAACAAAAGCAGCTTTTTAGTCCCACCCATGCTGACCCTCACAGACACTTCATGGGCTTCCTCAGGACTGAAAGGCACTCAGCTCCGACCTTTTTCAAATGCTTTATTTCTACAGAACCATTTCCTGAGCGTTAAGCATCCCTAAAAGAAGGCGATCCAGAGCTCTAGGCGCCCTTGACACCAGTTAAAGCCATAATCTATAGAGATAATGCCATTACTAAACAAAACCAGGAGCAAATACCTTCAGCAAACAACCAGTCAGTGACAAATTTGAACCCAAAGCCCCATCCTTATATCCCCAACTACCACAGCCCTCCCTGGCATCTCTGCCTGCAAATAGACTTAAAAAAAGCAAAGCAGGTTTTTGCACCAGGCTTAGTGACATGCCAAGGACGCCTAACACCGTCTGTGTTAATGAGAATCTAATTGGGCATCCAAATCTGTGGCACAGCCTAGAAAGCTAAGCACTGTGGGTGATAGCTCATTTGGCTTGAGGTGCTGCTGGCTGGCACCCAGCGGCAGCAGGCAGCACTGGAAGAGCTCACAGCCATGTGCCTTTCCCCAAAGGCATCTTCTCAATACCGTGGGAAGCCCAGGTGCCTCAAACACAACAGGTTCAGGGGAAGAGAAGCCACGTGTACCCCTTTGGAAATCCTACCCCACTCAGCAAATGGAGCACGAAGCACTGGGTACTGATAGAAATGGCTTATCCTCAAACCTGTTCAGCTCAGCCCTCCTCTGTAGGGTTGCATCCTTCTGTAGGCCACAAGCTCCTAAACCCCGTTGCTATTATTTAACCGTCTCTTTGCTTTCTTTCTGGTGACTGCCCCAGAGCTGGCAGTGCTTAGAAAGTCCTTTTCACAGAGAGAAGAGAATGTAAAATATGCTCAAGTACCTAAATAGGAAACAAGACTGCCATTCTGATCTACAAGAGATACCAGGAAATCACTTTACATTTCTTCCCCTTCCAAACCTGTCTGTGTTCTGCTGACTCCTGAATGTTAATGTTATTTATGACAAGTGATTGATGAGAAGGATGCAGAATGCACACCCGGCCACAGGGCATTTTCAAATCACCTATTCATTTTTAAGGACCGGAATCAGTTTTGCATCCTGACATGATTTATCATTTGGAGGTTGAGCAGCAGCTACGCAGGACCAGCTTCCAAGCACTGACAGAGCATCACCAGGCAGAAAGCAGCAGTGAGTGGTTAACCCTGTGAGGAGTGAGAAAAAGATCACAGGACACCAATAGGCAAACTATGTTGTTTTCCTGGAGCCTCCTCCTCTGCCAGCACATCAGATGCTCCTGCAGCCTTCAGATGTACAGGTCTAACCTAGTAGCCACAGACACAGAGCTGTATTACTTAAGGCAAAACTAGGTGTTTACCTTCTATACAGCTTGGCCTCATGCACGAGAAATGTTTACACCCAAGATGCTGTCATTGCAACGCACCTGAAAGAGATCAATGCAACATTTCCCCTCCAGTAGGCCTTTCAGCTCGCATGAGGCTGTGTCTGCAGCAGGCACCACAGACACACAGGCAGAGCAGCTAAAGGAAATCTCACCATGGTTCTCAGGAGAGATCCAGATCTGAGATTCTGGTTCCCTTCCCATGGAAATGTGTGTTCCCTCAAGTTGTGGACGGGAAAAAGAAAAAATCGGGTATATGGGACAGGCCTGACAGCTGAGAGAAGGCAGAGCTTCCTTTACAGAAGAAGCTCTAAAAATGGGAATGATACATGCCTAGTAAAGACAGCCTGGATCATACATTTGATGCCAGCCTGCCAATGAAGCAGCCAAAGTTCAGCTGTGACACTGTGGCAGCCTTGTTACAGCCCTTTTCTTGTTCTTCAGAAGTTCCAGGTGGGTGCAGCCTCTCTCCTAAGCCAGAAGAATTCAGCAGTGCAGATGGCAGAAGGCTGCCAACCAAGGTGACAAGTCTAGCTGTCCTCAGGACCTTTAGTATCAACCCAGCATCTCAGGAAGGTTGGTTAAGCTCAGGTTTGAATCAGGGAAGTTGCTTCAGAGGATGGGGCAGGAAACATGCCCATAAAAAAGTCTAATTGGGGATGTCATGTGGAGGTGTCTTCAGATCTCTGGTCACTGCTGGGAGGAAGTCCTGTGACCCCTTCAAGGGGCAAGGATGAGCAGGGAGCCTGGAGATGGCTGTTTTATCTGCCTGATTTCACAATGTACTGCATAACTGAATATGTCTGAAGCCCCAGTATTTGCTGCCAGACTATTAGCCCAGTGGATCAAAAACCACTGAAGGACTGGGATGGACGTGCATACTTCTCACATATGCATCACCATGGCGTAAGCTTTGTTTCTTAGGAAACCAGACTAACAGTGCCTAGTGCCTCTGCTTTGGGGAAGAGCTGAACTCTGAGTGAGTTCTTCTGAGCCACTCTCTGTTCCCCACCCAGTGTGGTCACACAGATCTCCAAGAGATCTATAAAGACGTAAAGGAAACAGATGAAGAGGAAAGAGGAAACATGAGGAAAGGTACCGTGGCTTGGTTTGATTTCCTTGGCACACCTTCAGGCAGGTCAAAGCAGATCTGTGCTGGCAGCCAGGGGTGGCCGCCATACAGCCTGTGTTAGGCACCAAGGGCTGTGGCTCTTTTTCGGCGTACCAGATCCACAAATACAAGGACTGAAAGGGCTGCTTTGAAATGATTTTTGGATTGAAACTTGCCCTACATCTACAGTGCCATTCCTCCATCCTCTGAAGACTTTCCCCAATGAAAATTTTCTACTTGTACCCATCCTGAGAACTCTTTTTTTCCCCACCCCCTTGTTTTTGGGGCAGGGGGCTTATTTCTGCTTCATTCTGCATGGAGAGAGACAAAAAAAGAGTCAGACTGTCCTGGCTCTCTCCCTTGTCCTCTCTGTCGCATAGCCCCTTGTCCTTCAAAGTCTGGCAGAAGATGAAAAATGACTTCACACTGAAAACAATAATGAAGGCTTCCTGTGAAAAATAATCAACACTTGCTCTCCAGTGCATAGCCTGGAGGTTCTGCAGAGCGAGGAGCATCTCTATTGAGTGTTTCCAGAGCTCCCAATGCAGCAGAGGTTTGAACCATGAGCAGAACCCATCACAGTGATGGTGGCATTATCTAAGACAGCAGGAACAGAAGCAGAGTGTTGCACATGAGGCCTTCCCCTCCTGCTTCCCTCTCCCAGCATCACAGGTCAGACGTGGCAACAGTTTCTCCCTCTCTCATCTACTACAGCATAAGATCAAACAGAGCAGTGCTGTTCACCCAAAGCATCCTGGTGCCCATGGAGGAAGGAAAAGGCACCAGGCAGAGATGTCCATTCACACATGACTGGTGGAGATGAGAAAGCTTGTGAAGATGGCAGGATCACTGAGCTCACCTTGCTCCTGACCAGGAATAGTGGTCAGAGCACCGCTTCCCAAGGAAATCAAACAAATCCATCTCTTAGAATCACAGAAAGGTTAAAGTTGGAAAAAACCTCTAAGATCAACTGATCCGATCATCAGCCCATCCCCACCATGCCCACTAACCATGTTCCTCAGTGCCACAGCTACTTTTTCCTGCATACCCCCAGGGACAGTGACTCCACCACCTCTCTGGGCAGCCTGTTCCAGTGCCTCACCACTGTTCCAGAAAATAAGTTTTTCCAACCTGAACCTTCCCTGGCACAAATTGAAGCCGTTAGCTATTACAATTACCTGGGAGAAGAGGCCAACCTGCACCTTGCACGGCCTCCTTTCAGAGAGTTGTAGAGAACAACGAGGTCTGCTCTGATCCTCCTGTTCTCCAGACTAAATCCCAGTTCCCTCAGCCACTCCCCTTGTGCCCCAGACCCTTCACATCTCCACTGCCTTTCTTTAGGCACACTGCAGGGCTCAATGCCTTTCTTGTAATGACACCAGCAGGTCACAAGCCAGCAGTGAGGGCCAGCTACCGCCCACATCCCAAGCCCTCAATTGCAGTGCTCAGCTCCTACAGCAGCAATACCACTCACCATTTGGATGACAGACACAGGTCCAATGCTGTTCACATAGATATCCACATCGATAAACGTGGGCTTGACTGTAAAGAAAATAAAACAAGCGTAAGAGGGGCCAGAATCACTAGTGAAGGACTAGGGGGAGGTGTAGGCATGCAGCAGGGAGAAGAGAGCGGCTCCATCTGACCAAAAAGCCCAACTACAGCAGCCTCATTCTTTTAATAGAAAACCTGGGCTAGGTCACCACCCACTGCCAGGCTGCCCACGAGAGCTCAGGGACACTTACTGCCAATATCAGGCCTCAACTTGTTGTCATAGTTCTTCAGCAGCGAGTTGAGGATCTGCGTGGCATCTGTCTCCTGTGCCTTGGGGGTGAGGACCCAGGTTTTGTTGATGCTGAGGTAATCATAATCATACTCCTCTGTGCTCTCACACCTGGAGCAGAGACAAAAGAAACATCACTGTGAAATCTCTGTAGTCCTCAGTGGGAGTGGGGGCACAGCTGGGTTTCAGAGGCACTAAAGGGGAGGGAGGAGGATGATGGTCGGGGATCTCCTCTCAGCAGTACTGCAGAGATGACACACCTCTGCTCATTGCAGGGTCCCAGGAGCTTCAGCTGGGCTCATGGCTGCTGACACCTGGAGTGGGCATCTTCAGGGGAAGACAACAGTGACCAAACAGTATATGGGGCAAAAAAAAAAAAAAAAAAAAAGCATTTGTAAAGAAAACACTTCAGAGATGAGGTCCTAAAGCTACCAAGCAGGCAGCACACGAGCCTGGCTCACCAGGCACGCAGCCATCTGCCCTGCACAGATCCTGGGAAATTAAAGCCTTATGCAAACTCCTTTGACCTCGGGCCATGATCTGCCACGACCCATTCCCTGCCCACCAACCCTTCCTGTCCACTTAAAGATGGGAAAAGTGGAATATCTTTCAGTTCCAAGCCAGCATTCGTCCTCCTTTGGATACATTGCACCGAGCAGCAGTTTCTCCCCATCGCTATCAAAAATGCCCTTTCTAAACATGTCGTACCTCCCCTTTTCCTAAAGGAGTTTTCCTACCCCCATCTAATTAAATTAGGCCCACGTGGTCACAGGGAAAGAACAAACCACCCACCACCACTCTGGGCAGCTCAATCACGACGCTGTCCTTACAGAATACACAGCCATACAGGTGAGAGGATGCCGAGAGATCCTACATCCCACCCCACATCATCTGCCGTGTCAGCACTGCGGTGCCAGGCAGGGACTCAGCAGGAGCTGCCTGCTGCTGACACCTCTCAGCTGGAGCCCACAGCTCCGAGGTGTGAGCGGGCACCTCCCTGCACGGCTGCCTTCAGAGCCAGGCAGATGATGAGGGGAAAAAAAGTGTTACGCTGACGTGTTGCCGTTCATTTATTAGAAGCTCCTCTTTTAAACCCCTGATGAAAGTTGCTTTCACAACCACTCTGACTCCTTGGCGTCTCCTCAGCTTTCAGGTGCTGGAAAGCCTCTCCCAGCAGGGCTGGGCTGTGTGCGGCTGCCTGCCTGCCTCTGCACGTTAGGTGCTGCTACATCAGCTCCTTGTTCCCTGTCTGATTGTGCGCTGCGCTTCCTAACGAGGCTTAAGGAGTCTTAAGCAGGGCTGTCAGGTTGTGCTTCCCTACCCAAGCTGCAGCAGTGCCAAATCGCTGCCTTTCAACTGCAGCCCAGGGGCAGCTCCGCAGTCCTGGGGTTGCACCCACCCCAGACCTGGCTCCTGGGGACAGGAGGGACATGGAGGGATGTATCTCTGCCCACAGCCCAGCAGGGGAGAGTGAGCCCAGCTGCTTTCTTTGCTGCCTTCAGCGGAGTGGGAACATAGCAAAATCTCATGTCAGTGTTCCCTTGACCCTGCTGGGACCCATCCCTGGATACATCACCCACTGGTACTCAGCCCTCCTGCAGCCCCTTGCAACCCAGCTCTTGAATCTCTAGGGCAGTGGCTAAGCTCTAAATGTCCCCATGGGCTAAACCAGGCCAAGCTGCATACCCTGACCTCAGCTTTCTGGCTTTCCCCATTTTGCACTGTTGCTGAACACCCTGTGATTTGTGGTAGGAGCCACTTCCATATTACAGATGCAGTGACACTACCAAAAATATTTTTTTCCTTTTTTTTTCTTCTTCTCTTCTCTTCTTTTTTTTTTCTTTTTTTCCTAATGCAGCTAATCCTGGGCTACTAAACCACACTAAGCCATTTTAGTATAAGCAAGCCAGCTTTTGCTGGAGAAAATATGCTTTCGGTGAATGCATGTAAGAAACACAGAGCAGCTCTTCATGGCCAGATATGACTCTGGTGCCACTCTAGAGCCCCCGCCCCAGTGGCCCCAGTGGCCCCAATGGCCCCAGTTCAAACCACGAGGGAAGAGCTCAGGAGCTATCGCAGAGGACAGGAGCTAAGGGATGGAGGCTGTGCATGTCCCGCTCCAGCTGCAGATGGGAATGTCACACCGCAAACCTGCAGCAATGCCCAATGCTCCTGTGCACAGTGCTGTCCCTGTGTCTCTGTCTCCTCACACAACGCGGCTTTGGCTGGGTGACAGGGGAAAGCCAGCTCCCATATGTCTCCGTGCAGCCAGGAGGAAAGGCAGAGCCACATTTCCTCACCTCTGCTGTGGAAATGTCAAAACAGCCACCTCACAGCACTGCTGCTCACAGCCACAGGGTGCAGCTGGGAGCGCAGCGATGAGGACAGCAGCACAGGAGGGCGTGGGGACACCGCAGGGCAAAGCTGGGGACCTGCAGGGAGTCCTGCTCTGAGCAGGCAGCATGGCTGGGAAGTGTCCTGTCTGATTGCCCATGTGTACATATGGGATTGGACAACCCTCCTTGGGCAACCCTGGGCATTACTGCAGGACACTGCCAGTTGTTTCCCTCCCTTATTCTGTTTTACTTGAGCAGGCACCTGTTTTGCTGAAGTTCCCAAGCATACTGATGGGCAGATTAAAAGCAGGGCCAGCTAAGTAGTTCCCAGCAGGTGCGTTCCCAGGTTGCTGAGTATTTGCTGCCCTTCTGCCCCTTTGCTGGGGATCTCAGCTCTGTCCTGCCCTGGTGGCATGGGCTGGGGAACCGCAGGGAGACCAGCAGAACTGAGTGCTTCTCCCAGCTCTGCCACGACCCTGCTCAGCAGCCTTGGGTGTGCTGACAAAATCTGGGGCTGCTAGCATTTCACACTAAAAGCTGCCACCATTGGAGTGCTGATGCCTGCCCTGCACACCATCCCCAGTCCTGAAGCAGGGATGTCCAGAAAAAGGTGCTGACCCCAGGCTGTGAGTGTCCCACCCCCCTGAGAACGCAGCTCAATGCCTCGCCTGCACCACAGGAACAGACAGCAACACAGTGCAAGGACATTTCACCTGGATGAAACAACACTGCTCTCAATCCCAATTACTGCATACTAATGTGTCCTTGTCACCCATCCCAGTGCTTCCAAGGGCTTTTAGGCATGGGAACATTCGGGTAAATTAATCTAAATTAGAAGTAGGCAGAGAATTTAGGGACAGGGGGCTCACTGTACTCGAACAGTACTCGATCTGTTGCGCCTGTCATTGTACCTCTCCTTGCACAGCACACCCACTGAAGCCTGTACTGTCGGTGCCAGCTTTCTGGATGTGTAACACTGTGCTGGATACACTTCCAGGGCTCTGAGCTGGATGCCTGGTCCCAGCCAGGCATTGCCATGGGAAATGCTGATGGGGAAATGGCCTGGGGAGTGCTGAGTCACAACACAGAACATCCAGCCCACCCCGCACCAGGGTCTTACAGTACTTGCTGAGATGAGAGCTTGTACACACTGCATCTGATCTGAGCTCATCACCTGGACACCCCCTGTAAACATAGGGCCGCCTGCAGCCAGAAAAATGCAGTGAGTGCAGGATGAGACCCAGAGGTACGGCTTGCTCCTTTACTCCTCCTTCTCCCATAGTCTTCCTCTGTTACTCCATCATCCCCACACCAAGCGCAGCCACTTCTTGCAGCTCAGTGAAGAAGTAGGTACTGGCAGCAGGCAGAAGGGAACCTGGGCCAGCCATAGGGTACAGCTTCTCAATCGAGGGCACATGAATACATAACTTAACATCACCTCCATGCAATTTTGCAGCCTGTCCTCTCCAAGCATAGCACGACAGGAACCGCGATCACCACGGGTCCCTTTCAGCCCTGAACCACCCAATTAGAGCCTGGGTGCCAGGCATGAGCTGTGGGGCTGCTCTCTCAGTCTCCGTGCTGGCATGGCCGGGCTATGGAGGACAGCAGCAGGGACCGACCTACCCACCCTGAGACCAGGGAGTCTGGCAGAGAAGACCATCAGTAGCAGGATTCGTGCTCCCTGCCCCTGACTGCATTTGTAATGGGATTTGATCGGCTTTAAGGCGGCTTATTCTGTCAATTAGCTTCAGCCAGTGAAATCCCTCTTTTCTCGAGCCCCGGGGGCAACAATCTGCTGACATGTTCCTCCCCGATCTAGCCATTAAACTCACCAGAGGGGATAGCAATTGTTAAAACGGTAATAATGACTAAATAAATAAATAAATAAATAAAATTAAAAAGGAAAAAGAGATAAAAAAGAAAAAAGAAAAAGAAACTTGAAAAGCCCTCGTGCGCGGGGCCTTTCACTGCTGTTTACAGAAAGGCGCTACGAAGCGCCGGCACTGGGGTAGAGCCGTGCCCGCGGCCCCCGCCTCCGCTGCCTCTTCGCCCCGATCCGCGCAGCACCGCGCTCCAGGACCGACACCGGGGCCAACCTGTGGAGCGGTGCAGGGCCTGAGCCGTACCCTCCCGACAGGTGCCGAGGGACGGGAGGCAGCGGAGGGGCCCCGCTCTGCTTTCCGCCCCGCGCAGCTCCGGGTGGAAATGCTCCGGTGATGCGCGGAGCGGCCGGGAGGTGCCGAGCTTCCTTCGGTCTCCCCCTCCAGAGCTCAGCCCTCGGCGGGATTCGGCCGGAGAGGGGATGGCGATGTGGGGAACGGGGCGTCCCCTCGATTCGGGGCGTCCAAAATGGGGACCCGAAGCGCAAAGGCACCGCGCGGGCACAGAGCGGCGGGACGCGGAGCCTCGAGGCGGGCTGCCAGGAGCCGCGGGGGGACGGCGGTGCCCAGAGCCCCCGCTGAAGCCGCCCCGCAACTCCAGCCTCCTCCTCGCCCATCACTCCGACGGGAGACTGAGGCAGCGGGCGTCCGGCCGGCGGGGTGCTTACCTGGCAGAACGCAGCGCCGGCCCTAGGGCCAGGCAGAGCAGCAGGACCATCGCGGGCATCTCGGCGAGGCGAGGGCCGGCTCCGGGCTTGGGGGGAGCGGCGGCGGCGGGACCCCCCCGATACCCGCTGCGCCGCGCTCCAGCCCCGCAGCCTCCCGCCCGGCTCCGCGCCGCCGGGGAGGCAGGGGAAAGTTGGGCATCTCTTCTGCGAGTCGGCGGCGGGCGGAGGAGGGGCTCCGCGCAGGGTCCTAGCTCCCCGCGAGGGGCCGCCTCCCGCCTCCAGAGGGCCGGGCGGCAGCGGGGGGGCTCCTCGGAGAGCCCCCGTCACACAGCTGTCGGCACCGCGCCCCGGGAGCCCACAGCGGCAGCTGGCAGCGGGCTGGTTCTGCCCCTCTGCGGAACGGGGGCGGCGAGATCCTCGCCTTATTGCTTTTAGTGCACAGAGATTTCTTCTTCTCCATTTATTTTAGTGTTTTATTTTATTTTATTTTGAGAGCGGGTCATCGTCATAAAAAAAGGAAAACAAAAACGCAAGGCACATGGTGTTACAGTGGGTCCTCTTCCACCTGTTGGGCTGCTGCCCTGTGAAAACAAGCTGTGAGATGCATGAGGGGCTGAGGGTTTTGTTCTGCTGCTCCTCGCTCCTGCTCTCCTGGTTTGTCAAGCATCTCTGGTATTATTTTTGCTGTTGGCATTCTCCTTGTAAACAGCAGTAACAGATTCCTTCTTGGCACATTGTAGGTCCAAGTTATTGGGAATCAACTTTGTTACAGCTACATGCAAGAAAAATAATTATCCTTCATTAGTGGTAACAG